AAATGATTTTACTATAAAAATGCATTGGAAATGAATTTACAATAAAAATGCATTGGAAATGATTTTACTATAAAAATGCATTGGAAATGATTTTACCATAAAAATGAATTTGAACTGAATGTAATATAAAAATGCATTGGATATTATTTTACTGTAAAAATGCATTGTAAATGAATTCATTATAAAAATGCTTTAAAAGTGATTACACTAAAATGCTATAAAAGTTGATTTTACTATAGAGGTGGATAGTAAATGATTTTAGCTGAGCTGGTTGGTATTTGTATGTCATCTTTCATTGGGTATTTTTATTTATTTATTTATTGGTCACCCAAACTGAGGTTCTTCCTACTTACAACTTGAAAATGCATATAATTTCATGCTTAAATACACATGTATTCTAAAATATAATTTTCGAACTACTCTCTCTCTCTCTCACTCTCTGTCTCTCCCTGTCTGACTGTCTAACTCAGTATATCTCTCTCTCTGTATATATATATATATATATATATATATATATAGTTATTTAGTTTATGCAAATTTAGGTAATCCGTATGGGTAGACCTGAGGAGGATGATATCCAGAGAGCTCAATGTAAAATTCAGAGCAGATATTTTTGAATAAAAGACAGACCACGTTAAGATTCCATGTAATAAGCTATTTCACCATAACCCCTTTAACAGGGTTCTGGGTCATCAGACTTTACTTCCAAAAGCTGAAATGAAAAATGAGAAGAAATTCACACGTTTTTTACAGACCTCATCAAGTATACGCAAAGTGAGGAAGTGAGGTGGGAGAGAGGATATGAGTGTGTCATATGTATCATTTTAGTTTCCTATTTTAACCCCAGTGTGTCGGCTGGATGTTGCTCAAATTTAACGCGTCTCGTCTCTAGATAAAGGTGGTTAAGGGGTGAGCGATAAGAACTACCTTAAAGGGAGACGTTCCAACAACCCCAATAAATTACACGACAGGTTTCATTCAAATTCTTAGACGCTGTCAGTTCGCGTTACTTTAACGTGCATATTTGGGAGGTTAAGGTTTGATAAATATCTAAATTTTCAAACAATCTACGAAGAAATTAATTTGAAATTCGGTGGAGTTTTGGGTATTTTCTATGAAGCAGTCGATTGGAAAAATCCATAGACAGAACATTGAAAGAGTAATCCAATTTCTATTTAGTACTTTTTTCCACTAAAACTTTTATCTTATAGCTTGTTAGGTTGACATTTATTCGTTTGATTTTTGTTCACTCGTGGTTGTTTTTATGTATCCAGTTATCAACAGTCATTCCCATTTAAATAATTTTATTTTCCACATTGGGGTAGTATCTTTCAATCTCAATTAAAATACTAATCTAAAACTTTCCCTTCGTGCTATTTAAAATTCACTTCCAATTGGAGAATATTAGAGGAGAAATTTGGAAGAGATATCACTAGCAGAAAATTAGGCCCTTCTTTTACAATTTCTTATCTTCACATGTCTTAAACCCCTATTTGTAACCACATACCTATATCGTCTTATATGCCTATGAGTTCCTATATACACCTACACACACATTCACACGAAACGATATATGTATATTTCCATCTCTACACATATACACCTGCAGAGAAAACGCACATCCACACGTCTCCATACCTATCTCCATGTATACTTATACTTACATATATACATATACACACACGGACATCTGCATATCCATATATACTCATACGCACATATATATATATATTTACACATCCATACGTATACACATATACACATACATACACACACCCATATATGCATACATACATACATATAGATACACACACATATGCATATGCATACGCAATATGCAGAATATCTACATACCCACATATGCGTTAATTTGCACTTACATATATCTACCCACGTATTTGTCCCTATCCTCATGTCCACCCGTGCATCTACTTATGCCTGCGTTCGAAGGCTATCTCAGTATTTAATTACGTTATCTATATCTTTACACATATAATATTACCCGATCTTTCATATTTATGGCAAAACATATAAGTACCTATCTAATTGTACATCTCCACACTCACAAAAAAAAAAAAAAAAAAAAAACTGGTATGCTTCTTTTTCCGTATAAAAACATATACATGTACATATCAACAGGCGTCTCAGATATATATATATATATATATATATATATATATATATATATATATATTAATTCAAATAACCAGGTCGGCAATGACTGGTCACTACTCTTAGTTTCTTGTGTTTTCACACAATCATCAAGTAGCCAATGACTTGTAATAAGATGAATACCCTATATAAAACCGGGTGAGTTCAATTTGACAAGTAAACCAAACCCGTACGGTTGCGAGAAAAATAGATTATACAGCTAACGTCTAAAATGGCAAAATAACAATAATATAAAATAAAATCTTCCCCACCTGAAAAGGCTTGCCAGTTATACAAAAAGCGCCCAATATAGTGAAAGTAATTCCAAGGCACATGTGGTGAAGCCTTAAAACAATATATATATATATATATATAATTACATGAATCATTCATACAAAAAAACAAATATAGAAGTTTATGATTTAAATGGCGAGAATACATCTTCGCAAACAATTTCAATAAAGTACCCTAACCTCGAACCTGTATATGAATGATATGATCCCTGTTTATAAATTCCAGTTGCACTGCATAAGGTCTACTTTTTTTAGTTTTTACTAGCTTTCGTCTGTTCCTACAGACATCCTCAGGTATGGAAATAGATTTGTTCTTGATTTTTATTTCTCAGTAATAAGAGAACAACGAAAATAGAGATGTAATCCGAAAAATTTATAATTTATAAACAGGGATCATATCATTCATATACAGGTTCGGGGTTAGTGTATCTTATTGAAATTGTTTGTGAAGATATATTCTCGCCATTTAAATCATTAACTTCTATATTTGTTTTTTGTATGAATGATTCATGTAATTATAAATTAAAATGCACCTATAATCGAAATTAAATAACTGATCCAACGTGCAACTTTCGGATAATAAGTGTGACATTCCTGTAATTATTGAACAATATAGTTCATGCCACATTGGCGGAAAACCTACCAGTACAAAAGAATTCTCCTATTGCCATATTACTACAAAAACGCACAACCTTAAAATTTAAAATTCAAAATTCAAACTCATCGTTGCGACCGCACATTCCAAAACAATAACACATTTCTCATAGCATTTTTTCGGATTACATCTCTATTTTCCATGTCCTCTTATTACCGAGAAGTGTAAAAACAAGAACAAATCTATTTCCATACCTGAGGATGTCTGTAGGAACAGACGAAAGCTTGTAAAAACTAAAAAAAAGACCTTATGCAATCCAACTGGAATTTATAAACAGGGATCATATCATTCATATACAGGTTCGGGGTTAGTGTACTTTATTGAAATTGTTTGCGAAGAAGATGTATTCTCGCCATTTAAATCATTAACTTCTATATTTGTTTTTTTTTTGTATGAATGTTTCATGTAATTATAAATTGAACTGCACCTATAATCGAAATATATATATATATATATATATATATATATATATATATATATATATATATATATATATATATATATGCGTGCGTGCGTGCGTGCGTGTGTGAGCCTATGCCTTGGAAATGTCGTGTATGTGATATTATTTTTTAAATATTTTTGCTTGTTGTGCTGTGATCAAAAACTCATTTTCTTTTCTGACCTTTTCGGTCTTCAAGGACTTCCTCCCTGCGTTGAAATACATGGATGCAAGGGTGAGTTTTAGCTTCAGAAAAATTGCTCGGGGTGAATAATTTCCTCGATATTTCGTTTATTTTCGAAAGTCTGAAGGCACCAAGGTAAAAAAAAAAAAAATTGGACAAACATCCTTGACCGTACTTCCAGATAGCCAAAACTTTCCCGAGGGCACACAACTGAAATGTCGCTTTGGTTAACTGTGGACACTGGCAGGGCAAATGTTGTCATTTCTCTGCGATGCGAGGAAGAATATATTAGATCTGCTTCTGCCTAAAATTCAGAAGCGAGGAGTTTTACATTGTGTACTGTTGTGGTACGATCCACCTAATTTACATAGTGGAGTACCGACCATATAAATATGGTTGGTACCGGGAAGACGGGGGAGGAAGAAGAGATCCAATCAAGAGACTCTGCCCGATTGCAACTAAGTCAACCCATTCTACAGGAACGGTCTTCCCAAGAATATACCAAACTATCTGTAAATATTGTGTACACGTTCTTGTGTCAATACATTTTGTTTAAGTACATTTTGTGTTGTATTATTATTATTCCATGCTTTATTCAAGTTTCAACATGTACCATCTGACTAAATATCCTCATCAGTCTAGTTATTTCCGCTGTTTATCTCTACGCCTTCTTCAGGTCTTGGTCGATTCTGAAAGCCTCGTACTGAACCCATGAATTAATCTACAGTGGCAGATTGGCTTCGTTCTGCTGTACAAGTCTAGGGATATAATTCATTATATTTCTTTCTTTTTTTTTTAGTACTGCTTAATTATTGCTAGGCCTGCATCCAATGAGTTTGTACTACCCTGCACAGGGATTGAACTCATTATTTATTTTATTTCTAGCGAAAAAAAAAGCGTTATCTTTATTGTTACGGCAACAAAAAGTATATATAAAGACAAAATGTAAAATATATATATATATATATATATATATATATATATATATAATGAAATGGACTTCGAGTAGATATGAGCGTTCGAAAGAAATCATGAGAAATTTGTTGTTTAAAACAGTAATACGACCTTGATAGCCAGACGCTTCCTCTATAGCTAAATGGTATAGCACGTCGGGCTATATGATGGTTCCGTGTAGGGTATAGTTTCGATTTCTCTCGGAGGACACATATTTTTTTAAGAAACTTCTCAGACATTCAAGCCGGTATATGTTTTTAATAAACTGAGCATTTATTTAAATATTTGTGTCTATAAAAATAACGTATAAACAAAAAAATGTGTTTATATAGATAGATAGATAGATAGATAGATAGATAGATAGATAGACTCGACTCCCCCATCGAATTCCACGTATGAGGGTCAAGCATATCAGTTCCACTCCAGCACAATAGATTTGATTATAGTGGTCAAGGTTTTGTGAATTACGTACCACAAGGTCCTTAAACTTTCCTCCGCGGGTTTTGAATTCAGAGTTGTCTTTATCCTAGCCCAGTTGCTATCCAAGGCTATAGAATTCAGTCTATCCATCGATTTACCCATAGCTGGAGGCATTAGCACGTAAGGGAATGGTGAATGCAATGGATTCGACTGGAAATCGAACTCGACTCAATCCAAGCCACTAGCCTTTATTCCACTATATATATATATATATATATATATATATATTGAAACATTTTTATACATTCTTTTTTTATAGATACAAATATTTAAGTAAATTCTCTGTTTATAATAAACAGTATTAACATTTACTGAATGTCCGAGAAATTGTCATAGAAAATATGCGTCCTCCATTAAACATGGCACGTGGAACTAGAACAGTCTACCCCAGTGAGCGAAATAAAGGGTTCAGTTCGACATTCCAACCACCTGAAGAAGGCCGGAGCGTACAACGACCAAAACGTTGTAATAAATATGGCGACAAAGATGAGGACAATAGTCCGAATAATGTAAATAATGGACTCTTATTAAGCTTAACTTATGGTGGGCTAATCTTCCAACTGGGTTCAATCTGACTCTCTTGGAGGTTAACGTTAGAAACACGGGATTTTTCCAGGGATCGAAAAATGGGCGGTGCTGTCAATGGCGACTATGTGAGCAGTTGACAGCCACGAGGAAGAATTAGACAATAATTTTTTGGGGGGGGGGACAGGTGTGGAGTCATATCAGCCAGGTCGACGAGGTTTTTGAGTGTAATCAGTAGAGATCAATATTTCGTATCAATTAAAAGCAAAGTTCCTCAAGGTCGATAGAGATTGAAAGCTGATCTCCACCAATTTCTTTTTACACTTAAAAAAAAGTTTTTTTTTTTTTCAGATATTCGATAATATCGATCTGTTATTTAGTGACTGACATTAATTGTACCATATTGTTTTCTTCTTTTTTTTTATCCAGCTTTAGTGCTACCAGTAGTAGCGGGAAAACGTAAAGAAAGAAAGACAGAAAGAAAGAAAATGTAAAAGAAAGAAAGAAAGAAGGAAAGAAAGGAAATGTAAAAGAAAGAAAAAGAAAGAAAGAAAGAAAAAGAAGTTAAAAGAACAAAGAAAGAGTGAAGGAACAAGAAACAAAGAAAGAACAAGCTAAAAAAGAAAACTAATAAATAATAAAACGAAAAATAAAGAAAGAAAAAGAAAAAAGCAATAAAACGAAAGAAGTAAAGAAAGTTAAAAAGAGTCAGCATGGCACAACAAAAAACAGAGAAAGAAAGAAAACAAACAAATAAGAAAAAGAAACACAAAGAAAGAAAGAAAATACAATAGAAAGAAAGAAAGAAAAAGCAATAGAAAAAAAAGGGAAAAAAAGAAAAAGCAATAGAAAGAAAGAATGAAAGAAAGAAAGAAAAAGCAATAGAAAGAAAGAATGAAAGAAAAAGAAAACGCAATTGGAAGAAAGTAAGAAAATAAATAAATAAGCCCTAGAAAGAAACAAAAAACAAAAAAAAAAACAAAGTGTTAACATGAATCAAAAAGAAAAAAAGAGAAAACAAGAAAAGAAACAAATAAGAAAGAGAAAGAATGAAGAAAATGCAATAGAAGGAAAGAAAGAAAGAATGAAGGAAAGAAAGAAAAGGCAATAAAAAAAGAAAAACAATAGAAAGAAAGAATGAAAGAAAATAAACAAGCAATAAAGAGAAAGAAAGAAAGAAAGAAAGAAAAGAAGAAAGAAAGGAAGAAAGAAAAAAGACAGATAGACAGAAAGAAAGAATGAAAGAAAAAGAAAAAGCAATAGGAAGAAAGTAAGAAAGAAAAAAGAAATAAACGCTAGAAAGAAAGAAAGAAAGAAAGAAAGAAAGAAAGAAAGAAAGAAAGAAAGAAAGAATTAACACGGAACAAAAAGAAAAGATAAAGCAAGAAAACAAACAAATAAGAAATCGAAAGAAAAGAAAGAAAATGCAGTAGAAGGAAAGAAAGAAAGAATGAAAGAAAGAAAAAACAATAGAAAAAGGAAAAAAGCAATAGATAGATAGATAGATAGATAGATAGATAGAAAAAATGAAAGAAAAAGAAAGAAGCAAAAAGCAATAGAAATAAACAAAGAAAAAGAAAAAGCAAAGAAAGAAAGAAAGAATAAAGAAATAAGCACTAGAAAGAAAGAAGCAAAAAGCAATAGGAATAAACAAAGAAAAAGAAAAAAGCAACAGAAAGAAAGAAATCGAAATAAATAAGGGGGGAAGGCAAGAAAAACAAGCAAAAATTAAAGAAAGAACTCCGAATCTTTAAAAAGATACTATTTGTCAAATTGTCAAATAGAATTAAAAATAAAAAAAAAAAACTTATCAAATAATAAATGTCCTTCAGCGTTGTTTTAACAAATCTGCTTTGATGTCGAATTAACATATAGATTTTTTTTTTCTGTCTCTTTTTCACCTTTCTTCATATCACACGAAATTGAAGCAAAACGTACCGCATTCTAACAAAAAATGACTGGCGTTAAAGTCTTTCCGTGATATCTTAAGTATAACAATTATTTTATTCTATTTTATATTCTATTTTATTTTATTTTCGAGACGTCGCTGAATTTGTATCTGATCGATGACCAAAATTTTCAAATTGATTCGGATATTTTAAACTGCAGTGATCAAAGAAAAATGCACTCTCATTCCGTCGAAAAATTATATTTAACAGAAACTTCATTTGAAATTGTATCTAATTAAATTATCGTAAGTGTTAACATCTGCTTTAGTCCCTGGGGTGTACGGGGCCACAGATCTTAACAACACTTCGTGTTGCAACTATGGATTTTTTATAATTTTTTTTTTTTAAAGAATGGTATGCCAGCCCAATATACAACCATTTTTTTTTTTTACCTGGTTTTCGTTTAGAGTACCCGGTGATTCCAAGCCGTACCTCTAAGTACTGACCGTGATCTACACTGCTTAAGTCCGGTGATAAAACGAAAAGATCCCCACGGAGTCCTTGTGGGTGACAAATTATTTTCCACCTTACAACCTCTCTCTCACAGATGGGATGTGGCAAGATTCTCACTGCTCTGTGGCTACTTCCATGAAAAGTGCTCGAACGAAGAGTTTCATCAGTTCTGACCTTCACGGCTAGGACCGGCCATGCTACGCACATTTTAGCGAACCACCCTCAATACCTCCGTATTCCATCGGTGAGAAGTAAGTGTATTTACTTGACCCCACCACTGAGTCAGGTTGTGACACAAGGTCGGTTTTTAACGTGGGGTCCAAGCTGGTCTTAGCTGGTCATAGCTTGTCCAAGCTGTTCAGAGCTGGTCTAGGCTAGGCATAGCTGAACAGAGCTGGTCTAAGCTAGTCATAGCCGTGATACCACCAGCCCAGGGACGAGCCCTGTGCTGGTTGGTGAGAAGTTCCACGCGACCAGCTTCTTTCCGCGAACTACTGCTCTGTGGAAATGACTCCCGAGAGGATGTTTCCCCGATCACTTCAATTCTTAACCTGGTCTAGGATTAACCGTTACCTTACCCACCTATCTGCATAAACTCTTACTCTGTAACCATTTACCTAGAGTGGCTCCTGGACTTTGTATACGGTGAACATCATTGTTAAAAATAAAAAATAAAAATAAATCTTTTTTTGATATGTTTAGGTTTCATCCAAATTATAATAATTACTTTGAAAATCAACATTGCCGAGGGAGTCAAAAGTGTATACAGTAATAGCGGCGTCAAGGGAATAACCATTCTTTTGACACGCTTTTTTTCCCTTCTTTTTTTTTTTGCGGACACGAAGATTAAATATGGGCACAAAGTCCATCACTTAAGAACTCGTGTCACGTTCTAAAATAACCCCGTCAGATTCCAACTCTCATCTGCCTGGTGTCCAGCTCGTTCGGATATGTCTATACTGCCATCTCTAGGGTTAACTGCTATCTACCCTTTCTATCCGCATTAACTGTCTCTTAATTCAACCCTCTACGACAAGTGCCCCTCTGTCTCTGTACAAGGGCTACCTCACTGTAAAAGAAAAGAAAAGCGAACCTGTGATTCAGAGTGGTTTGACATAATTTCAGTGTATACCAACTACTAGCTGGAACCCTGTTCCTAGAGTGGTCCTGGACATGACGATAAACTACATCTGGCAGCAAGGGTTCTGAACAGGTGGATGTGAGCGGTGTGGAACCATCTCTTAATTTCTATTGTTTCCAGGTCACCCCTGACCTAGGGTGGATAGTACCTGTTAGGGTCCCATCTATGGGAAACTAGTTAACATCTAAACTGCAATCAAAATACTATGAAAAGTATAAAAATACATTTTTATAGTAAAAATGCCAGCAATACATTTTTGAAAAAAAAAAAATGTTGCCAGCAACTCTCACAAGAATACTTCAACGAAACTTGATCTGCACACCGATTTTTTTTTACAAAGAATGCGTATTCTATACATTCGAACTTATCCTAATAGTCTTTTCGCATTAAATAACCCATTGAGGTTGATATACCGTAAGACAAAATAAACCAAACTACTAGTCTAGCGGCGTCAGCCTTAAACAATAATCTTGTCTAATTAGTGTGGTAGCACCTGTTAGGGTCCGAGCTATGGACAAATTGTTAACCCCCAAACTTGGGTCAAAACACTATGAAATTGTAAAAGTTGGTTTTAATACCAGCAATATATTTTTGTAAAAGCTTATTGCTAGCAATGAATTTTTGAAGAAAAAAATCAACAAGTATTAACAACAAAGGTTATTTATTATCTGGTTACTCTTCTTTCTTTTCAGGCCTACGACCGTATCTTCTCTTTCTTTCCCTTATCACTTCCAAAATAATTAGGATCCACTATCTCATGCTTCTTCTCCTCTATCAAGCTTTGTCTGTATCTTTATATCCTGACCCTTACCCCTTTCAATACAACTAAGATGACACATTATCTGATAACTCTCCGTCATAGATAAGACGATAAACAACATCCGCGTCCTGGGTAAGACGATAAGCTATATCCGCGTCCTGGGTATGACGAAAAACTACATCCGCGCCCTGGGTAAGAAGATAAACTATATCTGCGGCCTGGATGAGATGATAAACTACATCCGCGCCCTGGGTAAGAAGATAAACTATATCCGCGCCCTGGATGAGACGATAAACTGCATCCGCGCCCTGGGTATGACGATAAACAACATCCGCGTCCTGGGTAAGACGATAAGCTATATCCGCGTCCTGTGTATGACGATAAACTACATCCGCGCCCTGGGTAAGAAGATAAACTATATCTGCGGCCTGGATGAGACGATAAACAACATCCGCGTCCTGGGTAAGACGATAAGCTATATCCGCGTCCTGGGTATGACGAAAAACTACATCCGCGCCCTGGGTAAGAAGATAAACTATATCTGCGGCCTGGATGAGACGATAAACTACATCCGCGCCCTGGGTAAGAAGATAAATTATATCCGCGCCCTGGATGAGACGATAAACTACATCCGCGCCCTGGGTATGACGATAAACTACATCCGCGTCCTGGGTAAGACGATAAGCTATATCCGCGTCCTGTGTATGCCGATAAACTACATCCGCGCCCTGGGTAAGAAGATAAACTATATCCGCGCCCTGGGTAAGACGATAAACTACATCTGCGCCCTGGGTATGAAGATAAACTACATCCGCGTCCTTGGTAAAACGATAAATTACATCCGCGTCCTGGGTAAGACTATAAACTAGGTCCCACAGCAAAGGTCTCTGATCAGGAGGTTTTGAGGAGCGTGGAACCACCTCTTAATTGCTGGTGTTCCCATGTCCACCCTGACCCGGGGTGGTAGCACCTCTTAGGATCCGAGCTATGGACAAATTGTTAACCCTCAAACTTGGGTCAAAACACTATGAAATTGTAAAAATTGGTTTTAATACCAGCAATATATTTTTGTAAAAGCTTGTTGCTAGCAATGAATTTTTGAAGAAAAAAATTACTACCAGCGATACATTTTTGGAAAAAATATTACCAGCAATAAAAATCTTGTCGGCATTAAATAATCCATTGAATTTGACATGCCGTAAAACATACCAAACCAAACCTGATACCTCTGTATTTCTCTCATCTTTTTCTTTATCATCCTCTGCCTCCTTATCGGATGCTATACAACTAAGATGATTCGTTATTTCAGGATTCTGATTTTATCTCATCCTTCGCCTGTATCTTCTCATTATCTTCCCTTATCCATTGCAAAGCAACTAAATGAATCCACAAGCTCACGCCTATGGTTTCCTATCACCCTTTACCTGTATCTTCTCATTCTTCCCCTTACACTTTCCAATGCAACTAAGATTACCCATTACACATATCACTGTTTTTCTCTTGCCTGCCCGTCTCAGAATTTTCTGATTGTATCTTCTCATTCTCTCCCTTATCCCTTCCAATGTTGTTCTTTCTATTTAAATGTTAGCAACTATATAACCTGACGTTGGGTTCATGCCTTTGTGAGGGAATAAACGCGAAGTGAACGAATCAGAATCGAATCGGATTTCGAACTCGATTCGACGATTCCACCTTAAACACCGATAACCGTGATACTACCCACACATTCATTCTTTTCTACACATACGCGCAGACACACACTCTTTTTTCTATTTCTCTCTCTCTCTCTCTCTCCCTCTATTTCTATCTCTCTCATACACATACTCTCTTTTTCTCCTTCTTTCCTTTTTCTTTCTCTTTCTCGCACACTCAAAATCTTTCTCTATCTCTCTCACAACATGCACATGTAAATATGTTTGTTTTTCCTTTCTATTGGTTTTTTTTTTTTTTTTTGGCTTTTCTCTTGCTTTGTTAACCTCCTGGTATGTCCGATTTATTCATTACTCTTGGCATTATATAAAACGAATATTACTTAATATCTTTTCATCTTACAAATCTTATATCATACTTATTATAAAACCAAGGTTGTGTGTGTCTGTGTGTGTGTCTGTTCGTTTATATATTGGATCGGATTTCCTACATTTTTCAACCGATTTTAACAAAACTTCACAGGGCTACGTAAAATTACCTTGCGGTGGTTCTGACAGCGCCAAAAATGGGAAAAACACAATTGTTTTTGCACGAAATCAATTTGAAAACACGATTAAGAAGCATCGCTGTCGCGAGAATGAAATGGGGACAACTTATATCGATTTATACTTATTATAAAACCCAGGTTGTGTGTGTGTGTGTGTGTGTGTGCGTTCGTTTATATATGGGATCGGATTCCCTACATTTTTCAACCGATATCAACAAAACTTTTTTTGGCAGGTAGTGTTTCTTATTGCCTTGCACTTTTTTTTCTTTATTTTTACATTCAGAATGCTTTAAAAATTCCATTTACAAGACAATTGTTTATAATAGAATTTTATTCAATCGGTAGACTCATAACGATTGAAAACAATGTTTTTATTTGAGTTTGGGTTTGACCAATTCGTAAAAAAAAAAAAAAAAAAAAACGAAACAAAAACAAAAAAAAACTAATTAAGACATGCGTGTCCATCAACCTTAAACAATAATCTTTGTCAATTTTATTTTTCAGTCTTTATGATGGTCGATACTTGATCTATCTCTTACTGTTACATCCCCGGGCAATGACGGGCTCTACTGCTAGTATTTAATATAACAGGGACTCGAAATGGGAAACACCTCTCGAAAGAAAAAAAGATGAGCTACAGAGCGACAAATTTGCAGACGTTAAAGACTACCCCAAGATTAAGTTGAAACAAGACGATGACTTAGTAGACAAAGGTATCTGAGTGCCTCACAAGAAAGTCTTGAACAAACAAGACTAACTAGTCTTGTAGCAATGTAAGTAATGACTAAGACTAATTAATCTAAGTAGCAATCTAAGTAACGCACTGTAGGAAGACCACATTTGTTTTCCCTTGGGTTGAGCTCATGGGAGTTCGGCCCCTTTAGAGAGGAGAACGCTTCTGTCTTTTTGTGCTTTTTTGCTTCCGTTTTTTTTTTTTTTTTTTTTGAGGAACAGTCTCTTTACCTTCCTAGTCACCAGGGCGTCCACTCACGTGGAAACTGGTCAACGTGTGTGTTGAAACTTGACTAATGCATGGAATAATAATGCAACACAAAAGGTACTTAGAACAAAATGTATTGAAACAAGAAAGTGCACACAATATTTACATATAGTCTTTTGTATATTCCTGGTAAGACCGTTCCTGGAGGATGTGTTGACTGAGTCGCAGTCGGGCAAAGTCTCGGGTTGAATCTCTTGATTCTTCCCTCTCTTCCCGGTACCAACCATATTTACATGGTCGGTACTCCACTATGCAAATTAGGTGGATCCTTCCACAACAGTGTGAACGGCCTAGCGAAAGAAAAAAGTAATTTCTATTCACTTGTCTACGGATGATCAAAGGCCATAAAGTTGGTTATGTTATTTCTTTGTTTTCGTTCTGTAAACCTCCTCGTTTGTTTAGACATTATCTTTTGTTTTGGGACATTGTAAATCTTTTTACGATATGTATGTCAGTTGTGTGCCTTATTAAATGTTTAGTTTGTTACGGTCATGTATCTTGTCTTTCTATATTCGTATTCAGTGCTAGTGTATCAATGGCTACGTTAATGCTAATATTAGTATCGGTGTACTACTGGGAGGTTAAAACACATTATTCTTCCTAACACAAAATAGCCTGTAAGCTATGACCGGCTGATAAACAATACTAACAGGAATAGATGAATTAACCACTTCATTTTGCTCGGGAACTAATTTTGTCTATAGGTTATTAAACTGACTAAGGGAAGTAACCACTCGTAAATTTACTACCTTAAGTTGATTTACCACTCATCGAACGAAAGACGTGACACGAAAGATATAAATAAATAAATACACAACGGTAATTATTATATAGTATGGTAAGTCAGTAGGGGCTTGCTGCCATATTATGTTGAAACACCGATTCCCCTACAATTACGGAAGTTAAGCAACGTCGGGCCTAATCAGTACCGAGATGGTTTACCGCTTGGGAACACCAAGTGTTGTAAACTTGGGTTTGTGGATGGTGTAATGGGTAATGGCTCGGAATTCTTAAACATATAGTCGAGTTTCAATTCCATTTCCGTTCGTTATATTCATTTACGCGCAAATAGCTTTGGAACTGGTATGAATCCACCTCTTCTCACCCTTGCTATGGGTTAATTAAAAAGATTTGTACCATTAAAACAATTATTATTAAAAAAAAAAAAATTCTTACATTCTAAAGTCTATATTTTCTGGCTTTAAATAACCTGTCAAAAGTTGGTATACCATAGAAAATAAATTAATTCATCAATCAATTTTTATACGGCCCTCATTGAACTTACAGATGGTCCAAAGGTCTTATCACCCATACCAAAATGTAATGAGTACAGAAGATGTAATACAGTAATACAAAGCACATGCGCTGGATTCAGTTTATTTAATTTCATTAACGCTATCTCACGTCGACAAGGTCTGTATGAACACCATCATTTTCGTGTAGGATCTCGTGTCAGCTATCTGAAATAGAGAATTAGTTTATGTAAGGGTGATAAGACTTTCGGACCACCCTGTACGGTAATGATGGATTCGGAGTTGCCTCCTCCTTAACTCCCAAATTCTTCACCAGGGGTCTCTCTCCCCATACTATAAATACTGGGCGACTTCTTGCCACGACCTTTTTTTCCCCTCAGGCCTCGTGCCGCATCTCACCTCGCGTGGAGGTGAGGTAATTCTTTCTCTTTCTTCATTTCAGCGAACACCGCTACTATGTGAGCTCTCACAAAAGACAGCGTTTCCCATTTCTGGGAAGACGCTATGAACATTACAAACATACACATACGTACGAACTTTCACCAAAATACGAACATTCACCAAATCACAAACACAAATGTTCACTCACAAACACAATGTTAACTGTCTATGTCCATTGTAAAATTGTTTTGTTTAATACATACATTTGTTTATATATATATATATATATATATATATATATATATATATATATATATATATATATCCATTACACTCACTTACGTGCTAATACCCTTGGGAAAGAATCCTCTTCTTCTCCCTCCAGCTATGGGTAAAATAGCAGGACAGACTGGGTTCTATAGCCTTGGATGGCAACTGGTCTAGGAGAAGGACAACTCTGAATTCAAAACCTGCGGAGGGTCGTTTGGGGACCTTGTGGCACTTAGTGCACCAGGTCTCTGAATTCGGCCCTTCAAAATGTGTGGCTGGTCCTGCACGGAACCTTCACCACTATAATCAAATCTTATGTGCCGGTGTCGGGCTGTCGATTTCCTGGGAACTGATCTGCTTGACCCTCATACGTCGAATTCGACAAGAGAGTCGACTATATATATATATATATATATATATATATATATATATATATATATATATCGGTCTTGTTTGTCTTCTTTATCGTCAGTTGGACTTAATTCAAGACCAACATTTTCTTGTCGCTGGACCTTCTTCTAGTAGAAGATTTAAATGCACGTGTTTTATTTTCATCTTCACCTCTAAAATGGGACTTATAACGGTGTTAATAGTCGGTGGGGTAAGCATATGACCCACTGCTTCAATACTGTGTGTGTGTTTTTTTTTTTTTTTTTTTTTTTTTGTAAAATGAAATAACTCTAAACCCGATGCCCAATATCGTAACTTAAAGCTCTATCTGAAACCACGTCTTGGAATTGAGAGATAGATTATTTTAAAGCGTGAAGAAAAAAGACGAGATTATTTTTTTTCATTTTTTTTTTTTTACTTTCTAACGTCACTTAGTCATTTTTTCGTGTAAGCGAGAGAGAAAAGAAACAAAACGTATATTGATAATTAAGAGCAAAGAACTTAAAGAAAATTAAATGGTGATGACATTATGAGGTGGGGGGGCGTTTTCAGTACATTAGCACATTACAAAACGATAATGCGTCCAAGAGAAATTGTTTTTGTGTCTATCTTTAAATTAGGGATATTTCCATTTACAACGCTTCTCGTTTTTTTTTTTTTTTTTTTTATTGTACATTTCTTTTTCTTTTTTATTTGCTTTTTCCACTTGGTTTAGAATTAAAGAATTTAGAATAATTCCTTTGTTCTTCAAAAAAAAAACAAAGGTTTCTCATCTCAAAAACATCTGTAATCTTTAGTTTCATTTTTTCTGTCGAAGAGCTCACTTTAGTTTCTCAGATATTTTTTATTATTAGGAAAAAATATTTAGCTCTGAGTAAGTGTACCCGCTTTTCAAATGCCGTAAATTGTACAAGTCGATTTTTCAATCCCCCCCACCTCCTCACCAATCTTCCAAAAACTTATCGACTTATATAGCATGTATAAAATGCCAAACATTACCACAGAGTTGTAAATAAGTGGGTCACCACTTCTAACAATTACTGTTCACCACTTACCCTACCCCCAGCAGACTACCACATATGGTGGACATACAGTTACGTACTGCACATTTGCGTCCCGGACAGTTGCGTACCAAACAATTGCGTTCTTGGACATTTGCGTCCCTAGACAAATACATCCCTGGACAATTCTGCATTTTTGAAGTTACCATTTTTTTTATTAAAGATTTTGTTTATTATAGAAATTTTCACACCAATACCATTAATTGCTCTAAACAGACAGAAAGGTAGTTACCATAAATAAAAAAAAAAGAGAGAGAGAGAAAATTAAGCTAGCAGTTCAATCCAACAGTGCGTACCGCAAACATCTAACAGATTTTGGATGTTAAAGATTATATTTTTATTTGGAATCCATGGCAAGGTTCCGAAAATCAAACACTGGTGGAAAAAATATGTGTGCACGAAGAAAATAACAGCTACCATTATAATAAGAAAAACGCCCATGAAACAGAAAAGTACTGGCGGTGTATAGAGCGATCTTGCAACACTGTTAATCTGTCATTGCATTTTTAAACCAAAAATAATATTTTAATTTTTTTTATTTTATTCCTTTTATTCCTACTTTTTCGAATTTATGGTTACTAACTATGCTTTTCCAAAATTTAGAGTAATTGTCTTTAAAAGATTAAAAAATTATCAGAGGTACACAATTGTCTGGGATGCAAATGTCAGAGGTACGCAATTGTCTGGGATGCAAATGTCCAGTACGCAACTCTCCTAGAACTATCACAAATATATCGCACTAAAAGTTCGGTTTGATGAACATATATGTCATATTAACACAGAAATTAATATAAGATAATAAAATAGTAACACAAATTTAGTATTCTATTAAAGCTACATCACACATCGCGTCCAATTGCTGATACAATAATTATTGGTGTCATTGATTGCTTGTTTACATCACTGATGCAAATGGCGGATGAGTGTTTTATAATAACATACGATACGTAACAATATTGTCAAAAAAACTACCTGGTGTGATTAGCAATCTACGGTATTAATGCAACAGAATTACTCATGAGCTTTACCTTATGTCCGAACATAAGTAGTTCGGACATAAGGGCGGATAGGATATAATGTGGCGAGTGTAATTTAACTATAACTTAACAAAACACAAGAACTGAACGCAATATATGAAAAATGAAATGTTTCACGAAAGTAAATATTAATTTGCAATGTTTAATGGCCAATAAGTTTTATTTTCAGTTGTCTTTCATATTTCTTTTCTCATTTCACGTACTTTTCGTCGTTCTGTTTTTATTTTTTTTATTGTTTTTTTTTTTTTTTAGTAAAGCATTTCTGCAAATTACGTTTTACACCTTTACGTTTTGTACTACTGAACAATTTTTTCTCTCCATATAATGAAAACTCGGAGTCTTGTTCGGCTTAATGTAGCTTTATTGAACGTAACTGAAGAGTTTTACCGTTTTGGCTAAGATGGCGTGAAATATTTATACAAAGACAGGGGAGGTAATTCTGTTTGTCTTGCCGCACTCCATGAACTTGTCGACCTCATCAATGGCTTTCTCTACTGAATCCCAGTCTTCTTTATCATCCTTCATATTTTCACCATTATCAGAAGAATTTGATTCCTCCTCTATTTCTTGACAATCCAAATCATTTTGAAACAATTTTACCTTTGAATTCTTTTGTAATTCATTAGCGTCTCCATTTATCAATTCTTTTAAGTCATTCGATATGAGAGAATTCAGTGAATCATCTTCGAACGCAAGTTTTAGTCTTTCGTTCAGTTATTGTTTGTTAATTTGCAAATTCAACGAATTAGGAGCTTCATCCCTTCTTTTCTCTTCAGTTGCTTCCTTGAACAAATAAACTGCATCTTTGATGGTGAAATTTTGTTGAAAGTCTAAAAGAATTAAAATGCTTTTCCATCATTTTTCATCATCTAGCTGTTTGTTTTATAGTGACATCTCCTATACATTATTACTCTTTGATCCATTGGTTGGATGACAGAAGAAACCTTACGTGGGCAATAGCATGCATAAATATTTCCACAGTCAGAAATCAGTTCAGACTCATGAGGATGTGCATTGCAATTGTCGAGAAGCAAGACACATTTGTTCTTTTCAGCTTTTCCCAAACGTCCAAATTTCTCTCAGACCGATAGAATGAAAGTGTTAAAAAAGATCACAAAGTATGTTTTTATCCATCCAAATACTTCTTTGGTTCTTATAGATGATCGATAAATGACTTGAACGCACCAGGCGGCGCGGATTCTCTAATCACTAATATTTCTATTTTATATTGATATGACAAGACCGAAGTTCACGGACATAGAATAACTGAATTGAAAAAGAATAATAAACATTCTTAGTTCTCGGAAAGGTTTATAATGCTACGTCCTACAACAGATTATATATATACACATATACACGTGTTCCACGCAGAGAAATTACAACATATACAGCAACAAACAGGAGCGTTCGGTAGACAAGGTCGAATTTACTGCTTATAAACTTCAATCTTCCATGAATCTCGTACATTCATAACTGCTCTGGCGTATCAAATGTAAACAAATGACGTCATATATTATTTAATACTGTTTATTATAAACAGAGCATTTACTTAAATACTTGTATCTATAAAAAGAA